GCAATGGAGGAGAGCAAAAAGAATCGGGTTGAAATCATTGACATGGAGCCTGGAGTTTTTAAGGAAATGATGTGCTTCATTTACACGGGGAAGGCTCCGAACCTGGACAAAATGGCTGATGGTTTGCTGGCCGCTGCTGACAAGTATGCCCTGGAGCGTTTGAAGGTCCTGTGTGAGGAAGCCCTCAGCAGACAGCTCTGTGAGGAGAACGCTGCAGAAATGCTCACCTTGGCTGACCTCCACAGCGCAGATCAACTGAAAACTCAGGCAGTGGATTTCATCAACTCTCATGCTGAGGGTGTCTTGGAGACCTCGGGGTGGCAGGCAATGGTGACATCCCATCCCCACTTGGTGGCTGAGGTGAACTGCTCTCTGGCTTCAGTACAGGGCCCCTGTCTGGGACCCCCACACAAGCGCCTGAAGCAGTCCTGAGATCCTGCCTGGTGTAAGACTCCCTTGATTTTCCAGAAGCAGCAGCCACTGTTGCTGCCATTGAGCACCAGGTAGACAGCACAATCTGTGGAGTTTTTAGTCTGCTGTCAGGAGAAGTCTGCATCTCAGCCGCAGATTTTTAGTTTTATTATTTTTTATTTTCCTTAAAGGAATCATATTTTTTAAATGTATCTTTATTGATTTCAGAGAGGAAGGGAGAGGGAGAGAGAGAGAAACATCAATGATGAGAGTGAATCATTTATAAGCTGAGACAAAATAATAAAAACAGCTGGACCGCAACATTGTATCAAATACAGAGGTAAAGGCCAGAAACCTGCTTTTAGCAGCGAGGCCTCAGAGCTAAAGCTGGCCCAGAATAAAAAAAAAGAAAAAAAGAAAAAAAGGAGCAGTTGGGAGCTTCAGTCACCCGCCAGCCTGAAAAGGGCCCTCAGCCCCTCACCCAGACTGGCCAGGCACCCCATGGGGACCCGCACCCTGATCCAGGACACCCTTCAGGGAAAACCAGCTGGCCCCCACCCATGCACCAGGCCTCTATTCTTTATAGTAAAAGGGTAATATGCCTCCTGGCACCGGGATCAGCGTGACAGGGGAAGGCGCCCCAACCCCCTGATCAGCTCTGCTCTGTGCCTGATAGGGGGGAGCTCCCCAATCCCTTGATCGCCCTGTGGCTCTGTGTTTGACAGGGTGTGGTGCACCAACCCCCTGATCGGCCCTGCTCTGTGTGTGACAAGGGGCGGTGCCCCAACTCCCCTATCGGCTCTACTCTGTGAGTGACAGGGGGGAGCTCCTCAACCCCCTGATCGGCCCTGCTCTGTGCATGACAGGGGGGAGCTCCTCTACCCCCTGATGGGCCCCGCTCTGTGTGTGACAGGGTACGGAGCCCCAACCCCCTGATTGGCCCTGCTCTGTGTGTGACAGGGGGTGGCGCTGCAACCTCCCCATCGACCCTGCCTTGAGTGTGACAGGGAGCGGTGCCCCAACCCCCCAATCG